ATGGTAAGGAAATATTTTGATCCATTATAAGCGATTTCATTACATGGTCCCTACAAATCACAACGTACTAATTCAAAACATTTCTTTGACACATGTTGACTAACACCAAATGGCTGTTTATGCAACTTGGCTAGAAGGCAGATATGACATGGTTTGTTGGTATGTTTGAATGTGTGATCGAGGTTCAGTAAGTTTAATCTAGAATCTGAAGGATGCCCCATTCTATAATGCCATAGATCAAATTTTCTGGAATCACTAATCACATATGCTGATGTGGGAATTTTGTTGATGAAGGTAGGTAGAGAATTTGTTAGGGCTGTAGTAGAGACCTCTTCCTGCAGTAAGTGATACAACCCCTGCCTCACTTTAGCCATCTTCCAAGTTAAAAGGTCCTGCACAAAACAAGATTGAGATGAGAAAATGAGACAACAATTTGATGATTCTGTTAATTTTTTGACTGAAATGAGGTTGAAGGAAAAAGTTGGAGCACACAAAACTTCATCTAGAGTTATTTGTTCTGTTAGTTTGACAGTTCCTATATGAGTAACAGGGACTATATTTCCATTCGGAAGAGTGACTGAGTGTGAGACTTCTCCTTTGATGGCAGTAAAATGTGATGGGGAGCAGATCATGTGATCTGTGGCTCCGGTGTCTACTATCCAAGGAACATCAGATGTCCTTTTGGGTTGTATGATATAGGTAGATGAGCAAAAGGAAATACCAGAAATCTTTGGCATTTCAGATTCGTTTGAAGAAGAGGATATAAGAGTTTGCACTTGATTTGCTGAGGAGGTGTGTGGTTGAGTTCCCTGCAGTTTAAGTAATGCCATAAGTTGATTATATTGCCCTTGAGTTAGAGATACTTGATTGCTGTTAGATCCATGCTCCTGTCCAGTAGCTAAAAAGCTTGTAACCTGATTTGCAGAGGATGTGATGCCTTTATGTCTGCCATAGAGTTTGTGACTTGGTGGGTAGCCATGAATTTTGAAACATTTATCCATTGAATGGCCAGGCATTTGACAGTGTAAAGGTTTTTCAGGATTGGCTTTAAAACATTTTTCAATGGAATGGCCTGGTATTTTGCAAAAGGTACAGAAGTATTTCCTCTGAGATCCAATGTTCTATCTTGGAGTAAACTTTCCCAGCATGGCCATGGATTCAGTGTTAGGAGCCTCAGTAGATATCTGTCTCCTCTTCTCTTCTTGCTAGATAATAGAATATACTTCATTCAGGTTTGGGAAAG